CTTAAATGTCACCTAAATGCGCAACATGTCAAAACCAAACACTAGAACATATGAATTAATGTAGCAGCTCTTGTAGTCTGTGAAGTGCAACAATAATCTGTGTCTGATTTCCACTTCACCATTGCAATTGTGCTCGAGAGTGAAAGGTTTCCACAAACATAAATGTGCAAATAATGTCTGTCATATTCCTTGTCAAATGCATACATGTATATATGTGAAATCTTTACTTAATATCCTAATGATTTTTGGTATAAAAGAGAAATCAATAATTTTGACCCATACAATGTATTGTTGGCTATTGCTACAAATATACCTGTTTGCCTGGCTGTTTGCTCGACATGGAAGTGAATAGACGTTATTCTGTCTTATACAGCACACAGACAGACCCGCTGTTGCTTTTCTTTTTATCATGAGCGTCACTCGCTGAAACCTTTTGTTTTTTAGTGCTGGACATGTGTAAGGAATAACTGGACTATACCAATTATACTTAAAAGGGTGTAGTTCATGTAAAAATGTATCAATTATTGATCTTTAATTTGCTCCAAAGCCACATCAGTTTCTGTCCTGCATGGATCACAAAAGGAGATGTTTAGCAGAAAGTTCAAGCTGCTCTTCCCATGAAATGAAAGACTTGGTTTTCTCTGATATATTCTACATTTTGTTGCACATTCTGCTGATTTATCATTAATATAACGTTATCTATCTGGCTAACATAGACAAGGTTTAGTCAGAAATGCCAAAAAAAGTAAATAAATAAAACAAAAAAGAAAAAGAAAAAGGTCACGAAAGTGTTAGTAAAAATGTGTCACTAAAAGCTTAAAATCAAGGAGTGATGATTTTTGCTTTTAAAACTAGCAATAATGTGTTTATGAGTTACATTATAGCTTTATTAATTCCAGCTTAAGAAAGAAAATAAAAACTTTTAATAAATTTGAAGTGAATATTTCTAGGAATTGGAAAAATAAAGATAAATAGTTATATATAGTTCAAGTCAAAATATGATTTTAAAAAATAAATTAATACTTTTATTCATCAAGCATGCATTAAAGTAATCAAATATGACAGTAAAGACATGTATAATGCTACAAAGTTTTTCTTTTATAAGTAAATGCTGTTCTTTTGAACTTTAAAAAAAAAAGTAGCATGGTTTCCACAAAAATGCTGCAAGAACTGTTTTCAACATTGATAATAAAAATGTTCCTTCAGCATATTCAATTTATATATATTAAATATATATTGTATACAAATATATTAGAATTCGTAATATTATTCACAATATTACTGTTTTTGATCAAATAAATGCAGGCTCTGTGAGCGGAAGAGACTTCTTTCAAACAAATTATTACACCATTAAAAAAATCATACTGACCCCAAACATTAGTGCACATAAATCTTTATTTTATTTAACATACTATGATATGATATATGCACTTCAATGCAGGTTTCTGTGAGCTGTCTCTGTCATGCATTCCTGCTCTTCACTGCAGCACTGATCACGTCGTGCGCTGTGTTTAATGCATCCTCATGCATCTCATTCAGCTCATATGCAGCTGCTGCAAAAGCCCGGATCTGTGAGTCGTAGCATGAGTCAGGCCAATGCACCGATCAGTTCAGGAAACAGCCGCATGCAGCAGGAGGAGAGGAGAGGAGAGCTGATGAAACGCAGGAGTGTACATTATTGATTCGGATCCGAACGATAGCAGACAGCAGCGGTGATTTAGAGGCTTTGATTTCTGTCGCTACAGGCTGTAAAGCACTGCAGACACACACAGGGGGGATGACCCTCACCCATGTTTAAAGTCAATGTAAGTCAATGCAAACCGATGAACGACAATCAGCGCTCTGCAGCCGACAGGATGGGGCATGTTGTCACACGGGTTGGTTTTGTATGTTGGTTTCAAACAACTGGTTCAATACTGTCTTAAACGTATTAATGCATTTTCTTTGGGGTCAAAACAATGAGTTTTATATTTGTCATATTTCATTCTTTTTTTTTACTGTTATTATTATTGTCAAAAACATGTGCAACAGGCCTACCCAAAACAGTAGGCTATTTATTTAACATATTCTGTTTTCCTATTCACGTTGCATTGCATAACAGCATATAGATTAGATTGTTTTGTGCATATTTTGACCTAATTTCACAATTTCTTTCAGGCAAAATAACGATTTTATGTTTGTATGTTTTCTCTTTTTTATATATATATATTAATGTTGGTATGTGTTTTGCTGGAAAGCCTATAGCCTATATATATCATATATCATCATTTATCATTTATTTTATATAATAAAATATTGCGGTTACACGTTATTTTAAGGTGTCCTTGTTACAATGTAATTATACATTTAAGTACTGTGTAATATTAATTAACTATAATTATGTAATTATGCATAATTTAGTGTTATTATAATAGTAAGTACATGTAATGTGTAACAAGGACACCTTAAAATAACGTGTTACCAATATCAAATATTATTCTGATTCTGAAAGCTTATAAAATGCTTATGAATTGCAAATTCACATTGTGACAACTTACCCCATATATTGTGACAACATGCCCCGGTCTCTGTCATCCTCAGCAGCACCGGCTCTGTGAGTGTCTGTAGTCTGATGCTTCAATGAGACTCGAGCTGTGAACGATGCTTTACAGTCTCACAGACAGAGACACACTCCAAACTGGATGTAGTAAAGCAAGCCGACACTGGGGATGTAGTTAACACACATAACAGCTGTGCTTTCACTCAGCAGATGCTATTGCTTTTAAACAGCAGTTTACAAGAAGATCTGGTAACTCAGATTTTTGACACAGTATTGCCAGTTACTTCGTCTGTGTTTGCTCAATCGATGGAAACCGTTCTAAACGGACAAATGCTGAATTCACTCGTTTCTGAATGAATCAGTGTTTTGAACGAGTCGGTTGGAGCGAATGATTCAGTGATTCACTCATAATGACAGTCACTTGTCGCCATCTACTGACTGAACGATGTAACATGCAGAAAGAGCAGGACAATATCTATCTATCTATCTATCTATCTATCTATCTTGTCTGCTTGTTTTAACGTGTGTAGTTTTCTGGTCTACAGTCACACCACCAGAGTTTTATTTATTAATTAATTAATTAATTTTATTTCTATTTTAATTTAATGTATTATAGTTTAGTTCATGTATTTCTGAGTTTACAATATTTTTGCAGCTCACTGACTCAAACAAATCTGAAAATGGCTCATATGGTGTCTAGCACCAGCTAGTGGAACATTCTAGAACTGACATGAAATGATCTCCAAAATATCAGAGGACAGTGCTGTTCACATAAGCTCATAGAGATATTTGTTATTATTTCATTGTAATTATTTATAAAGTTAATCTCAGACAGTTTGGTGCTACTCACTCACACACACACACACACACACACACACACACACACACTCGCTCTATGACTCACAGACTGGTTTGTTTCAGATGTAACCTCACCTATCACACTAAATCAACTGCAGATTTTAGCAGTAAAAAAAGTTTCAAACCTTCCCATGCACAGTCCTCTTGTGTTTTGGTAAATGCACTCAACAAACTAGTATATGATTTAACCTCGATCTTTGTTCTCTAACAGCATGAAGAGTCAGCGCCGTTGGAATGTGCTCTTTGTAAATTCGTTCTCCACAGGTCTGTTAAAGTCACACTCACACACAGGCTCCTGGTGCTTTGTCTGGTCTGAGGCTCAGATGAACTCTTTATTGTTGTCATCAGTGAGACTCATGCACATGCTATTGTGCTTCATTTGCTTTAAAGCACTGCTAAACGCTGACCTAGAAACACAGCAAGCGGTTCTGAATAGGCTTTGTGAAGAATGCATACAGAAGCAATCATTTCATATACACCTACTTTAATGTTAAAGCTGCAAACTGAAATTTAATCTGAATTCAAATATAATCCTTTATATGTACTTAATTAACATATATCATTATCAAACCTCACTGTGTTAATGGTTAATGAAAATGGAACAAAATTTCCAATGTTTTATTCCCCCCCCCAAAGTGTTTTCTTTGTTTTAATTTATAAATATAATTATTATTTGAGTTATTTTATTAATTTATTAATTTGTATCCATATTTCCTGTGTTTATTAGACTATATAAAATACTATCAAAATAAAGTACTATCAAAATTACATTTGAATTCAAATATATTTCTTAAGATTAAATAAATATATGTAGTTAATTAAACAATGATGCAAAATATTATTAACAAAACTTAGACTATTACACATTTATCATATTATGTAATTATCCTAAACAGAAGTTATTAGTTATTATTATTATTATTATAATCTCACTGTGTTAATAATTACTAAACATGGGAAATAATCATTTTGAATGTTTTTTTCTCCTTGTAGGAACAATTATTTTAGATAAACCATGATCAAAATTAAGTACTTGCAAAGCTGTCAACTAAAATTACATTTTAATTAAAATATAATCCTTATGATTAAATATATAAAGACGATATACTTAAATAAAGATATATAATATTATTATAAATACCAAATATTATTATACATATTTGTGTGTTTGTGTGTGTGTGTGTGTGTACGATTAATCGCATCCAAAATAAAAGTTTTTGTTTGCATAATATATGTGTGTGCACTGCTTATATTTATTTTGTATATATATATCGACACACACATACATTATATATTTTGAAAATATTTACATGTTTATATTTATATAATTTATATTATATATAAATATATTTAATATATAAATATAAAATTTTTCTTAAATATATACATGCATGTGAGTGTATTTATATATACACATAATAAATAAGCACAGTACACACACATATATTATGTAAACAAAAACTTTTATTTTGGATGACAACACAAATACATATATGATGAGATAAACTGCTATCAAAATAATAATGAACAGATGTAACTCACCAAATGCCCTCAAATGTCATTTTTACAAATGTTCTGAATTTAATTTGAAAGCTCGGCCAATAATAGGCTTATAAATCCAAAACCAATAGTAAATAAAGTTTCAGCGTCGCGATCTCGCGGGCGCGGTGCATGCTGGGACAGCGGGTCCTCCACGCGCGCCTCCATCTTTAAACCCCAGAGAAAAACAGCTTCCGCTCAGCCGTACACGCACATCCTGCGCTCACATCCACATTTATGACACAATAACCATAGATCTGCGCTTTGAATCGACATTTCGGAGCAGCAGAGACCCGAGGAGCTCATGGGAGCTTTATTTCTGCGTTGACATCCAAAAACAGAGGCTGAGAAGATCGCAAGGGCGCACCTCTTCTCCTTCTTTTGTCCATCTCTCTCTCCGTTTTCTCTTCTCTCCCTCCGGAGATGAGTAGTGGAAGATGTCGGTTTCGGGACTGAAGGCCGAGCTGAAGTTTCTGGAGTCCATTTTCGACCCGAACCACGAGCGCTTCAGGATCCTCGACTGGAAACCGGACGAGCTGAGCTGCCAGTTTAACGTTACCGGAGACCAGCTGCTCATCATCCACTGCAACATCACGGTAAGACGGAGAGAAAGCAGCCACACACGCCATAAGAACCGCTCAAAACACAGGGCTGCCTGATAAACAGCCGCGCTTCGGCCGCGTGCCAATCCCTCGGTAGGCAGCACACTAGTTTTCGAGTCAACAGCAGAAGCGCTCAGCTGATAACTAACGCTAGTCATCAAGATCAGCTCTCTGGTTTCATTTGGCTAAACATGTCCGTGTTGACATGATCGTCACGCTGTGTTGACGGAGTTAATGTCACTGATAGAGTCAGTCTGCGAGTGAGGGGGCGAGCTGGATATAAAGTGCGCACTTCGGTGTCCATTATTGACCCAGTTCTGGCGTCTTGTTTCATGGCTTTTCTTCTTAATTTCCGGATGCCATTTTCTGTTGCGTGAGAGCGACGCTGACGTCAGATTACAAACCTAGTGTGCACACTATTTAGATCCTCCTGCCAGGGACCTTCATCCTGAACTTTAAAAAGCAGATGTATATTTGCCCATTTTATACAGTAAAACTAAGATTGTAAATATGGGTGAAATGTGATTGGGAAAATATTGATGTTGCTTTTTTTTTCTTTCTGGTAGATGTTTTATTGTATGATTTTTTTTTTAAATCAATTGCTTTATTTAATGTAGCTAATGTTTTTTTCTATTATTTGTTGTTACTTGTATTTTATATATAAACCCCCCCCCCCCAGACAACATTACTGAAGCACACTTGGTTTTGAGTTCGCATCACTTTCTGTCTAACAGCTGATTTGGTGCATGCTGTCAAATTTAACAACAAATATTATACAATAGTTAAAGGAAAAGTTAACCCAGAAATTAAAATATGCTGAAAATGTTTCACCCTCAGTTCATCTGAGATCAGGATGAGTTTGTTTCTTCATCAGGTTTGTAGAAATGTAGCACTGCATCAGTGTCTCAGCAATGTATGCTCTGCAGTGAATGGGTGCCGTCAGAATGAGAGTCCAAACAGCTGATAAAAACATCACAATAATCCACAAGTAATCCACAGCACTCCAGACCATCAGTTAACATCTGGAGAAGACAAAAGCTGGAACTAATCCAGCATTAAGACGGGTTTAACTTCTAACCGTTGCTTTTGTCTGAAATGCATAATAATGCTTTCTGACGGCACCCATTCACTGCAGAGCATCCATTGGTTAGCAATTGAATGAATGTTACATTTCTCCAAATCTGTTTTGAGTGGGCCTACGTTTTCAGCAAATCTTCACTTTTGGGTGAACTATTTCTTTTATGATGCAAGTTGTTTTTATTTTTTATTAATTATATTTACATTATAATTGAACAGGTGTAAGTGTAAAACCACTGGTACTATTGGGACAAACAAGTGCCAGCTATAAACAATATCAGTGAATGTACATTCCAATTAAACCATGTCTTGAAACTTAAATTCATATTTATTTCTATTTTAATGTATATGACTAACTAATGGACTACTAAACATTAGACCGTTTTAAGCACTCTATCTGATCTGCATGAAAATAAGCAACCCTTTCTTAACACGTTCTTAAGCACTGAATGCCTTAAAGACCAGAATCAGGCTGGAGCCTCTCTGTCGAGAATTTTTTTTACATCTAAATAAATATGTCAGATCAGTTTGTATAGATCTGAATATGTCAATGTGAGCATGCATTATGAAGACATCTCGAATGCATGCATGATTTGTGGAAGCTCTTTCATTGCAGGTGTTTTCTGGTTAAAGATGGGAATGTTGTAATTATGTCACTACCAGTCAAACATTTGGACACACCTGTTCCTTTATCATTACTGTTGTGCAATTTACAGTAATAGAAAACTATGAAAGAAATGGGAGAGTTATGTTGTGTCCTTAAACAATAAGCAATAAAGGGATAGTTCACCCAAAAATGAAGATTCTGTCATTAATTAGGGGTGTTCGGTTCCTCGACTGTCCAAATTACTGTTATTAAGCGAAATGAGTTATGAATTTGTCACATTATAATGGTCAGGGGATGGCGCTATTGTCTTAAACAGCATTGATATTAAAAATACATACGTTACATTTAGTCTTTTAGCAGACGCTTTTATCCAAATGAGGACAATAGAAGCAATCCAAACCAACAAGAGAGCAATGATATGCAAGTGCTATAACGAGTCCCAGTTAGCTTAACGCCGCACACGTAGCAAGGTTTTTTTTATTATATAATAAATAAAAAGAAAATGTATAGAATAGAGCAAGCTAGTATCAGAGGGCTTTTTTGCTTTTGTTAACTGTATAATAAATAAAAAGAAAACAAATAGAGATAGAACACAAAAAGATTAGAGAAGCTAGTGTTTTTTTTAAAGATGCAATAATGCATACAAATGTAAACTTATTGATTTGTTTGTTATGTGAGTTTTTAATGGTTGAACACGAATAGCCTAGGTTAACCATGGAAAACCACATTGCATTAAACATAACATTGCATAACAAAGCATCAATTAAACTGCAAAGCTGTCACAGAAGCATGTATAATTACAAACTAAATTTACTATGACTGCAATTTATTTATTTCTAAAGTAACCTTCACGAAGGATAAAAGTATGTGGGATAAGTCATTTCAAAAATATCTTAATTCGTGTTCCGAAGCTGAACGGAGGTCTTACGGGTTTGGGGCGACACGAGGATGAGTAATCAATGACAGAATTACCATTTTGGGTGAAGTAACCCTTTAAGCGTGTCTTGAGGAAGTTGGTCATGTCTGGTCGTGCACGTCGCAGTGTTACAGTATCGCTTTGCATTGTGGGTAATGAGGTGTCTTCTGGCTGAGATCTTGCTCATTCGCTGCCGCTGGTGTTTCAGGAGTCCTACCCGTCGACGCCGCCGATATGGTTCGTGGAGTCCGATGACCCGAGCCTGACTGGAGTGCTGGAGCGGCTGGAGGAGGTCAGGAGGAGCAGCACACTGGTAACATTATTACTAGGGATGTAACAATTAACCACAAGCCGGTTGAAAATCGAGTTTTGTTATTTACATTTACATTATATTTAAATTTAGTTATTTAACAGATGCTTTTATGCAAAGCGACTAACAAATGAGGACAATAGAAGCAATCAGAACCAACAAAGGAGCAATAATATACAAGTGCTATATTAGTATATTATTATAGTGTTATATTTCAATTTCACAAAGAAACGTACAGTATTTTGTCCAAGCAATAATAAAAGGACACATGTAATTTATAATTGGTCTTAAATCTCATTTTGTTAAAAAAAATCGTGAATAATGAAAAATCTTCCAGCTGGGCTTTTTTTAACTAAAGCTTTGCTTCTGTGTGCTCTGTTTGTTGTCTATAATAGATTAACTGGGACACGCAGCACACTTTTAGACCGCTGCATGCCTGATTAAAACAGGACGCTGTGGATTGAAGGATTAGTTTATAAAGAGATCATCAATCTGTCATTTACTCTAATGTCAAACCTTCTGTGAAACACAAAAGAGGACGTTTAGCTGAAAGTTAATGCAGATGTTTTTAATACAAATTGTGTTAATTGTTTATTCACTCAAAAGGGTCCATTAGGAGGTTATTTTAGGAAACGCTACCTTTTAAAATGTTGGGGTGTATGTACGTTTTTTATTTTATTTTTTTAATAATTTTTTTAATGATTTTTTAAAATGTTGTTAGTGTTTTTAATGCTTTTTAAAAAATTTTGAATGATGCCTTCTGTATTTTGCTGATCACAAATACTATATTGTGAAATATTATTACAATTTCAAATTCTGTGTTAAACTGTAATGTATTTCTGTGATGCGCAGCTGTATTTGTTAACAACTGTTTATTGAATTTTCTTCTGGGAATAGTAATATAAAACAAAAAGCAACTGTGCAAATTTAGAACCCATCCCAACCCTGGTAGACTTCAAAAAATATAAAAAAAGAAATGAATAAATAATATTAATAATAAAATAAAATAAAATAAAAAAATATATATAAAAATAGAAAATAAATCAATAATAAAAATAAATAAATAGTAATAATAAAAATAAATGAATTAATAATAATAATAGATAAATAGCAATAAAATAATTTGTTTTACAAATATTTTAGAAAAGCATTAAAAGCTGAATGCCATAAATTTTCAAATTAGATCCATGTATACGAGAAGTTGAGAGCTCCATCGAGATGATGTCCAACAAATACACAGTCCAGGTTTAAACGTATAAATTATTTAAGAAAATCTTACTGACCCCAAACTTTTGCACAGTAGTGTATGTGTATTTTTAAGTTGAGATGTCAGGGAACCCGTCAAAGCCACTGATCTGGCTGCTCTCTTCCTTCTCTTAAAGTCTTATTCATTTTCTCTCAGATATTCATCACGTGCAGGTGTAATTGTTCTGTCCAAGACTCGCCTCACCTGCACTGATGACTTAAAGAGGATCATGTGCACAAATTACCCATCGAGTCCTGCAACCAAATCTTGATGTGTATGTTATTAACGGTTCATAACACTGATTGGGGCATGTTCATAGCAAGTTAGTCAGATCAGAAATGAACTTTTCCACTAAGGGTCAGTATTTGACCCACATTTTCAGCTTTCTGTAACGTTCGGTCTAGTTTTAGTGTAATGCTCTAGTGTGTGTGTTTGTGGTTTCAGCTCTTGCAGCAGCTGAAGAGGCTGATCTGTGATCTGTGCCGCCTCTATAATCTCCCCCAGCACCCCGATGTGGAGATGCTGGACCAGCCTCTCCCTGCAGGACCTGTCAACCAGGACAGAAAGGTGAACCGCTGAGCTTGAGTCACGCTTGAGTTAACCCTGAAAAGGGCAAAGCCATAAATAGACATCAGAAAATGTATTTACTGCTATTTTCCATCTTATTGGGACTCAAATAATACAATTGCATGATTTTTTCCAAAAAAAAAATTCATTTTGGGGTATAAATTCACTGAAAACAGAACACTTGTTTATCAATGCTTGTTACAACACAGTTGTAAGACCTAAGGTTGGTCTCTTTTTAAATAAGACACACGGCAGATTATTGCTGAAGTGAAAGCATTTTAAAAAAGACAGTATAAAAAAGTTATTAAAGTTTAAGTGTACAGTAAAGATAATGTAGCATACAATTTTATTTTATATAAAATAAAAATTATCAAATATGTTGCATTCTAAAATTGCTATAAAATCAAAGCCATATGTCTAACCATGTTATGTTCCAAATTTGAAGTTGACATCACAAAAATTTTGGTTCCTTTGTTTGGGCGCTATACCAAAAATAACCACTGGGTGACACCCAAACTCTGTTGACTTTGTAGAATTTTTTTCCTTATAGCCAACATGAAACCAATACTTGCAGTGCATTCTGTAAAGTGACACATTTCTAAATGTTTAGCATGAATTCATGTGGTGCAGGATCAGGATGAAAGGTTTCGGTATTATGTTGGCACAAAAGAAAGGTTATTTCAGAAGATGAAGTTATTATATTTTGTAGTAGCGTTATGAAAATGTCATACAACATTGTTCTTTTGCATGACATATTATCAGTAAATCGGGTCGGCTTGTGGTTTAACAGGAATGTTTTCTCCCGTAGCTTGGGACGAAAGATGAGGTCACATCAGAGGAGGAGGAGGAAGAGGAGATGGCAGAGGTTCATGTCTGTTTCTCTCACGTTATTCCTGTCTTCTGTGAGCTCGTGAGCGTCTCTCGTTACATGTGTGCGTCTGTGTGTGTCAGCAGGACATCGATCTGGAGCACTACGAGATGAAAGAGGAGGAGCGGGTGGATGGCAAGAAGTCTGAGGATGATGGGATCGAGAAGGAAAACCTGGCCATCCTGGAGAAGATCCGCAAGAACCAGCGGCAGGACCACTTGAATGTAAGTGCTCACTCGGTAAGGGACTTTCCTTATGTTTTGGGGTCTCAAATAGAGGCTTTTGTTTCACAGTCTGATTAGATGGAGATGTGATGATTATGCAGAAGTTCGGTTTGATGTCAGAGTGAATGATGATGAAATGAAATGTGCATGAAGTGTTCAAGCATGCAAACTACTTGCCTTCTGGTGGATTTTGCTGTTTTCAAGCTAAAATGTGTATGTGTGTGTGTGTGTATATATATATATATATATAAATTCATCCACAAATAATGCTTTTTCACTCAAAACTGAAGTGCATAAGCTCAGATCAAAGTTGATAAAAAGACTAAATCCAATATTTGGTGATAATATGGCATAATGAGAGATTTAGGAGCAGTTTTTAAAAGGCCAGTCATTTTTGATGGGGAACACACAATTATGCAGAGGATTTTTAAGTTTTGAAACAATGTTGCAGACGTGAATAAGGAACATATAATTATAAACCTGAAATGTAAAACACAGTCTCTCTTGAACATCACAAGGAGACTATTTTGAAAAGGTTTGTAGCAAAGTCAGTCCAGAATCCGTGTGAGAGGTTTTATTGAAATGCATGTTAAACATTCTGGGTTTTCAGTTATTTTAATCTCGATTTCTCCATATAAGCCTGCATGCATTAAAGGACATTTGCCCATCAAAAGACTGAAGATATAATTCAATAATGACAATATCATAATCAATAGTGCTACACATTTCCCTTAAGGTAATTTGACAGAATTTCAGGATGAACTTTTCATTAGGATGACGTTTTTATTAATAAAAACATTTGAAGCTTACATTATAAGTATCTGCTGAAAGTATCTCACCAGACTTTCTGCGAGGCCTTGTTTACCTCTCGTTAGGTGAAATGACTCGGTCGTTGGCCTGAGCTGGAGTTGTAGTTCATCTGTATGTTGTCTGTGGTGTGACTGACGGGGTGTGTTCTGTCGGGTCCTGTAGGGCGCCGTGTCTGGATCTGTTCAAGCGTCGGATCGTCTCATGAAGGAGCTCAGGGAGATCTACCGATCTCAGAGTTATAAAAACGGTAAGGTAGCAGTGACGGTGAATGACAGCATGACCGACGCGACTCTCTGATCGGATTTATTCAGATTTATTCTCTTTTCCAGGCATCTACTCGGTGGAGCTGGTCAACGACAGCCTGTACGAGTGGCACGTCAAAGTGAGAACGTAAGAGCACCGTTCCTCTGGGTTTCCGTGTTATTGCTGAAGGTTTAGGGTTGGTAAAGGTGTTTGTGCTGCTCTTGTGCTCAGTGTGGATCCGGACAGTCCTTTACACAGTGACCTTCAAGTGCTGAAAGAAAAGGAAGGGATGGACTACATTCTCCTCAGCTTCTCATACAAAGTGAGTCCGCTGGATCTGCTGAGACCAGACCAAAATACTCACACAATTAAATGTAATATTTTATTTTCTATAGATAGATAGATAGATAGATTCAATTCAGTTCAATTAAAAAAACTTTATTATTTATAGATAGATAGATAGATAGGTTTAGTTATTTATTTTTAAATAACTAAACCTGGCTCTCGCCGTGAACATAACCATAGAAGCTGGCACGGCATTACAAAGGAATAAGAAGGGAAAAACAAGTACTTCTCTGCACAATGTAAAAGTATATATTTTTTTCCATAATAAAGAATCTGTTCTCGTCTGTCTGCAGGATAATTTCCCCTTTGATCCTCCGTTTGCACGAGTCGTTTCTCCGGTCCTGTCTGGAGGGTAAGACTTTTGAGACTTTATTCCTTATGTTAGGGATGTTGAGTTAATATATATTCTTTTGACTTTATAATTTCTTTCATGTGCATGCAAACGCATTTATTCACACTAATGCATGCTTATGCATTCATTATATATCTGTTACACATCCAGTGTACTCGCCAAACTCATTGGGTTGTATCATTAAGAATTGTTGGACTGGAGTTTGTATAATTAAAGTCTGAAACGTTGAATGCTCATTACATAAAGATGTAAAGGAAACCCGGTTAATCGGTGGTTGTGTTATTTCAGGTATGTTCTTGGCGGAGGAGCTCTGTGTATGGAGCTGCTCACTAAACAGGTGTGTTTGCTTTAACTTCCTCCTGGACTAAAGATGCATTTAATGAGCCTCAACCTAACGAAACCGGTCATCTCAGTATATTGTTTATACATGCATTTCCCCTAATGTCCACTTATAATGTTCGGCAAGGTTTAAGATGTTAAATATTCAGTGTTTTCAAATTGCATCAAACTCCTGTATTTATACTGATATCTTAATGCTGTCTGTGATGCTGATGCTGATGTGCTGGAGTGTGTCAGAGGCTTGTTCTCGTCTCAGTTGTGTGTGTTTGCTCTCAGGGCTGGAGCAGTGCCTATTCCATAGAGTCTGTCATCATGCAGATAAATGCCACTTTAGTCAAAGGAAAAGCAAGAGTGCAGTTCGGAGCCAATAAGGTGAACTCTGTGCTCGTGTTTGTCTAATGATGTCTGGTGGAGTTGCTTTTGTTTTTTGGAAGCAAGTAGCTGATTGCATTTTAAATGTGACTTTAATTGCACAGTAGAGACTAGAATGAACATTTTTCTGTAAGCTTATGACACACTTCTGGTTTGTCTGTCCTGTTCTCAGAATCAGTACAATCTTGCCAGAGCGCAGCAGTCGTATAAATCGCTGGTGCAGATCCATGAAAAGAATGGTAAGATCTTCACAGTTGACAAATGAAATTAAAATTCATATCTGGAAATGGAAAAAACATCATGTTTGGATATTTCCATTTTAATATCATAAAAACAGTTCTTGTATCAGTCTCGTAACTAAAAGTTTGCCTGAGATCATCTGATTTAACCAGCATTATTACTAAAGAGTCATTTGTGAGTTTTAAAGACCGTGGAATTATTTGAGGACTGTAGTTTTATTTCCTATTGATTGACATATTTCTGCTGAAACGAGTATTTATTTATGAAAAGCCTTTAGTTCATGATACATTATAAATAAGGTGACTTGCCAATTTTTGTGGTCCATTTCTTAACCCTCATAACATTGGGGTCTGTTCAGACCTGGAAAAGGTGCATAAAAATACTTTAAAAAGTGTGTAGGTTTGTAAGGGAAACAGGTCAATTTAGCTCAAAGGGAATCATTTAAGATTTTAAAGGGAATTTGGACAGAATCACTGTTTTACGGCTGATCACTGAGGCCAGCGATTCATTGAACGAGCCGTATAACATCAATTCTGCAATGGATATTAATATCCAAAGTATAGTGAAAACACTATTTATTAGCACAGTAACAAGATCGGCAGTTTAAGACATTAACTTGTAAGCACAAAACACAAGATACTTCTCTTTTCAATATAAATAAGGCTTTATTGGATAAATCTAAGACATATAAACTAATCTAACACATAAACACACGCATTCACACAAGTTGCAGAAAGAGAGAAAGTGAGGAAATAATTAGTTTAAGACAATGAAAATGTGAAATCTCAAGTTTACAGCAATATGTGCAATTGCATAGATCTGAACAACCATCAATCACTTAATTAACCCTCGAATTGAGTTCCTCAATGAGGTTAAAATTTATATTAAATGCACCAGTTCAGCTAGAATCTGGAGGTACTTGCGTTGCCTGTGTGCGGGGGTTCCTTTTGTTGTGGTCAAAAGGCGATGACTAAAAAGCCTAGCTCAAAGCTATGACTAAAAAGCCGCATGGCTAAAAGTGATGACTTGAAAGCACATGACTAAAAGCGAAAACTAAAAGCTAGACGCAAAAAGCCAAAAAAACAGCATGGCTAAAAAGCATAGACCAAAAGCAATGATTTGATGGTGTCCTGAGTATTTAAACTGGGCTTTTGGACACCTCCCAAATGGTGTTTTGACCAATTAGAT